AAGCTAAGGGTTAGAGGTGAGAAACAACTCGATACCTCTCTATGTTAGTAGCCAAATTTCTACAAAACTGCACCATTTGAACTGTGGACTAAGAACCGTTGAGTGAGTACTCAACGTTTCTACCAGCTGCTCTCATCATCTTCATGAGTGGAGTCCAAGCCAGGCTCCAGATTTTACAGAACTGTACATTTATACAACTCAGGTACAGCTGCTGTTTTTTCAAAAGCTGGAACATGCCTTTTCTTATGAGGCTAAAATCAGAACACCATATAAAGTGCTTACCAAGTGAGTAGTGTTGGCGGTAACAAATATCTGGTGAAGTGTTACAATCCAGAAAACCGTCTCCCAGGGGTCTAGTCTTGTCTCTTCATCAATGCTACAACTAACAAAACCAAAGAAACTGTTTCTATCACAGACTGTATGACTACTCACTGAGGAGGATTGAGAGAGGTGGAGAAAACTGATTAAGAAGTTGTTAGTGCTTCCCCAATGACCTTCTTCCAGACATGTGGTTCAAGACAGATGTGATTAAAATTTACACCCAGGAATTATGGTAAATATTGGCTTCCATATCATACTTTCCGCCTCATGTGTGTATTATAGAAGCCTGCCTGTGTCATAAAGAAACCCTAGACTCAAAATGCTATTGTACCAACTGAAGCCACCACCAACCATGTGTGAATGTTGGCTCAAATGCCATATTGTAACAAACTGTCATATGAAAGGCCTTGTATCTGACACAGAAATATGGCCGCTGATGGCTTCATTGACTATGATAAAATGAAAGAACAGTCCAGATGTTTTATATGACACCTTTGGAATGCAGTGTGTAGTCATCCTTGTACATGATTTGGATCCAGGAATGTGGCATTTATCCCTCTATAATCTCCACCCATCCCCTTTATTATTTCAGTACAACTCCCCATTCACTGCAAGCAGCTTGTGGATTCAGCCTCTTTCCAATTTCTGTTCAGTTTGTGACAAATGTTACAATCACACCTAATGATTGCATCTTCCAATTTGTTCAGAGAAACTCAACCCAGCCCCAAAGGCCGGAGATTCTCATTAGTTGAAAAGCTTATGAAACAAAACCTAAGGTACAGATTTACTAAACTGGGCATGTTATTACAGGTACCATGGACTAATATCAGAAAACGATGTAAGCTGTTTCCATACCTGTCAAGTATTGTCCCCAGTGATATGATACCTCTGATCTGTCACACTTCAGAAAACTTTGTCCAGGGACTAGCTTCTTCTTGTCTCTCTGTCACTGCTGAAACTAGGGAAACTAATAACAAACAATGTTTGAATTTCAGCCCGTATGACTCACATTTGGGGCCACCGTTTCAAATTATAAGGTGCACTTTACAACAGCAACTGAAACATCATTGAAAACAGTATCAAATCAACAAAGATCAAGGTCAAATAATATACAAGCTCACATTACTGGAATTTCTAAAAAAAAAATCATAAAAATCTCATCTTCTTAGATGCCATTTTCCGTTTCTTTTTTACTGTTGCTTGGTTAGCTAAGTACATTTATTCTTCAAAACACCTTAAAATAATGTACATTTTCAAAAGGTCATTTTTCTCAAGCCTTTAGGCATCGATTTAAACATTCCTCTATCTTTGGCATTCTTAAGATCTATTTTCAGCCATCTGCATTCAGATGGAATCCCACAACACAAAAAGTGTTGGTCTAGGGCTATAATTAGACAACCCCACCTATTTTTCAGCCAGTCAATCTCTTCTAGTTAAGGTTTCAGCTGCCATCCCCAAATGCTGATCCACCTTGAGTAGAAGCACAGCCTAATTGGTTGAGAAGAGTCGTGTTGGTTGGAGTATTCATTTTGTTGGTAGCGATGGGGCTGCTTGCATGTCCTAGTCATTCATGAACCAAAGGAGCCTCTGATGCCAAGGAATTAGTGTTCTCTCTTGGTTCAGGTCAAGGCTCATACAGGGATCACAGTCTGTGCAGAAAACTTTCCCAAATTTATAAACAGTACTATGCTATGGCTCCCTATAGATGTTACCCAGTACTGGGCACAAAATGAATTTATCCACCAAGAATGACCTCTAAATTCCTCCCCACATTAGTGTGGGATGGGTCTTCTAGTGATACTTACCCCTGTCCAGCCTACATATGCAAATTTCCCAAGTGGCTATTACAATTCGCTGAAAAGAAATGATTATGCATGCTGCCCCCTGACCCAGCATAATGCAATGCTGTCCCGCCACCATGTTCGTCCTTCTTTTCGAAGCAGAGAAGTTCCCCGGAGCCAAAGTGGAGAAGGACGGGCGGGAGCTGCTGGACAGGGTAAGTATCACTAGGACACCTGACCCACACTAATGTTGAGGAGGAGTCTCCTGCGTTCACATACCCCTATCCAGCCTACATATGCAGAGAAGCACCGTACCCTGAAGGAGGGTCGGCGATGGGAGAGTAATTACAAGAGAACATAGGCGGGCGCTATTCAAGCGAACATTCACTATTCTAGAACAAAGGAATAGCATCTACGATGAGGAATTCTTTGTTTGGTGAGGGACAGTGCTGGATGCTGTCCCAATCGCTGAGCGTAGGGTTGCTGTGCCATGAGTCATCTCACTCCGCAGGACATCCTTCAGGTAGCACTCAGTGAAGGTGGAAGGAGATTTCCAACAAGTCGCCTGGCAAATGTCCACCAAGGAGACATCTCTGAAGAACAACCAGGACCTTGTGATATTCTTCGTCAAGGTAGAAATCGGATCGATCTTGGGGCGATACTGAGACAGGAGATGAAGTTGAAGTGGCCGCATTCGCAGTCGACACCAGTGAACAAGGTTGACGAGGCTGGCCATAAATCTGAGAAGGAAGCGGAGCCAGGCCAGCGCCGGAAGAGCCTTGGAGCGCAGGAACAAAAGGGCACATTATTGCAGATTTAGGATGCGTTCCGGTGACGGAGTCGCAACACCGTTGAGAAGATCGAGAGCTGCCACCAGGTAGGTCAGCCGTTGTGATGGATCGAGGGCCGACTTGTCGTAATTGATGAGGAACCCTAGACGTGTCGTGGCCTCGAGGGTGAGAGAAGTGGCAGAACTTGCTTCGTTGGGGCAGCGCATCCGTAGATCTATTGAGGTGGCCCAGCACGGAATAGGTAGAGAGGGTAGGACCATGCTCAGAGTCTCCATTTAAAACCCCCTTGGCCTGATGAACTTGTTGAGCGGTTTCAGGTTGATTATTGGTCGCCATTTTCCCGGGTCTTTTTTGGGTGCGAGGAAAAAGACGAAAGGAAGCCGGTGGATAGCTGGTTCGGATGCACCAGTGTGATGGCTCCTTTGTGTAACAATGCTGCAATCTCCTCCAGAACTTGAGTTTGTCGCATGGAGGAGGAGTGGAGCGGAAGACCATCCCGGACGGCGGGGAGTTTGTGAACTCGAGGGAGTAGCCAAGAGCAATGGTGGAGAGGACCCAGCTGTCCGCGGTGATTTCCCACCAGAACCTGCTGAAGTTACCCAGGCGGCCGCCGACGGGTTGGGGATCGGCGGCCGCCAAAGGCAAACGGAAGAAGTCACCAACCCCGTTCCCCGATAGGACCGGGGTCATGGTGTGAAGAACCACGGCCGGGAGGGCATGACTGAAAACTTCTGGGAGCCGATGTAGGAGGAGCTCGCTGCGGGGCCGATGACCGATGATGGTGTAGAGGTGCTGGTTCACGAAGTGAGATTTTCTTAGCAGTCTCCATACATTTTACCTCCAACTCAAGGACTTCAGTGAACTTCCCAGCAAAGAGATCGTCCCCCAGAGGGGGAGGCCCATAAGCCTATTCTTGACGGACCCATAGGGGATATCCATGGTGTACATCGCGTTGGATCTGCGGGTAGAAGTGGCCAGAATGGAAATGCAAGTGAACTATTCAAAGATCGAATTAAGTCCCTTATCAAAGCCTCGTAAAGCTAAGGCCTCAAAGTCTGAAGAGAGCAGATTCTTCTTCACAGGCCTGGGCAATATACTCCGATAGAAAAAGAGGAAAGACTGAACATCGGAGGCCAAAGCGGGACGCCGTATCAACGCAACGGAGGGACAGGTCAAGGATAGTTTTGTCCTTACCCTGGAAGGTTTTCGCCTTGCCGGAATCGAACGACATCTTGTCTCTTGCAGCGTCAGGAATATCTGTGGTTGACAGGAAGCGAGAGATATCCTCCCGAGGAAACCAGTAATAAGATGAAGCTCTGGGCGGGAATGCGCGCCAGTGTTTATCCTTTGCCAGGGCATTCATCATTTCCACACAAGAACGGTCCAGCGGAATCTCTGGGAAGATTGGCTCAGCTGACTCAAGTCATAAAGGGTGGCACTTGGATGAAGCACATTCATGTTCTGTCGGTGCAGGATCCAATGACAGGAGCCCCAGAACATGGATCATGTTGCGTTGAAGGAGGCGGAGGCGGCCTTCCAATTGAGTCAGACCAGCCAACGAGTCGATGTCATCATCCTCAAAAGAGTAGGGTTGAAGGACAAGTTCAGAGGGAGGCGGATCGCCATGAGTCGAGGCTTGGTCCGGCATGAGTCTAGGCTTGGTCCGAGGCAACAGAAGGAGGCCTGTGAGTAGGAGGCAGAACAGCCGGAAGAGGATCCGGATCAGGTGCCTTCGCCACTGGCTGAGGCTCAGAGTCTATCTTGCGGGTGAGCGACAAGAAGGGCTCCGAAAGAGACTGGAGAGTCGCCATCCATGGAGGCGGATCCGGCTGGGAATGGTGTCTCTTCTTGGTCTTGGACGAGGAAGAAGCCGAGGAGGATGACTTGGCCTTGCGCTTCTTGGAATTAGTGGAAGCATGGGAACTGGAGGCCGGCACGGGTGGAGGAAGGGCTGGGCAAAAATCCGGTCGGTCGTCTCTTGCGAAGTACGTCCGAGATCAAGATCAGAAGGCTCATGACCGGAATCCACCTGCAGGTTGGAGCTGCGGATGAGCTTTGGCGGACGGAAACCCCAGCGACGTAACAGTCTAGAAGGGGCACCATTGTCCAAGGCAACAGGAGGCTGGACAACATGCAGGGTTGTAGGCTCGCCGAAGCGACCGAACGGACTGAAGCGGGGGAGCTTGGCGATCCTGCTGTGGAGCCCGCTGTCAGCCTGGAGGGTGTTGACTGGGCCGACTTCCAATCGGATGTCGCCCGGTGAGCAAGGGCCAGTGAAAGGCCCAGGGCAGACGGCTGACTATCGCCCCGCAGGCCCCACTGAGCCATCAGTCGGCAGGGCTCTTCGGGGATGTAATAAGAATGCCAGGAACCTGCAGCAGCATTAAAGGAAGGGACGGCACATTACTCCCAATGATAGTGATCAAAGGCATTGATGCGGAAAATCCGCTCAACCCGATGAATAGGTGTAGCCTCAGGGCCCATCACCTCGGGCCCCCGGACTGCTTGGCCGCACAGCAGCCGCCGGTCGCAGCGCCGGGAGTGGGCATAAAAGACAACGGCAGAAGACCAGCAGGCTTGGCTCTGTGGTGGGTAGGTGGGTGGAAGTCATCAGTGATCAAGGGCATTATTACGGAACCGCACTCTCAGCCTGATCAATCCTGGTAGTGGTCATCAGAGATCAAAGGCTTCGCGGTACTCCGGTCCACCTGATCTATAGAGGCCGTTTTGATCTGGGAGATGCGGTACTCCGGTTCTCTCTATTCAAGGAGGGTATCGATCAGGTTTTGCGGTACTCCAGTCCACCTGATTGTGACGATCCAGGCCCGAGGTGCCTCAGCCTAATCAGGTCTCTCCTCGTCGAGGCCGCTAATTGGAAAACGCAAAACCGCACCACAGGGAAGCGGGGCGGCTCACTAAGCCTCGCTCTGCGGTCAGACCCGAACTGCGTTGGGCCGTTATTGTTCGAACGCATGCACCACATAGTGAGCAAAGGGCCCTCCAACACTTAACGGCCATACCCACATACCACATCACACATCACAGTAGGTCACAACCTAACCTATATATGATCAGTGGTCGAAATTAGCGGTAGTCCACTAGCCCGAGGCTAGTGGTTTTAGTGGGAGGACTAGAAGTTCTTACTTGTCGGTAGTCCGACGGGCTAGTGCCTTTTTTAGCGGGGGCATGAAAAGAAATACACACCGTAAATGTAACACCATGCCGTGCAGTGGTATTTTGATTGCAGATGCATGTATATGTACATTTGTACAGCCTATCGTTACACTGTAGACACGACGGGTTCTTTCCGTACACAACACGGCCCATGCGTACATGTATTCACATCGAGCTGATACTCTACACACGTAGGCCAGCCACACGACATTGAACGCATCATACGAATGTACGTGTGGATTTCACGGTACCCCATACATTTTAACGATATATTGTGCAACGAGAAAAAATGTTTTCTACTGGGCTATCGCGAAAATAATCCAGCGTTTTGTCCAATCAGCCTGTGTGTTTGAAGCGATAACAATAGTCTTTCCAGCACGTAAGATTGATTTCTACTGGCTGTTACTGAAAAGAATGAAACGATTCGGCCAATCGCATTGTGCGTTAGAAACAATACAATTTTCCGAGCGCACATGGATCGATACCGTCTTTTCGGATTCGCGCAATTTAGGAAACAATTTGAGTGCCAAAAATCCAAAACTTAATTATTTGTAGGACTACTATTTACTATTACTATTATTATACTATTAATAATACTATTATTTTGTAGGACTACTGAAAAACTCAAAGGACTAGTAAAACAATGACATTACTAGTCCTGTGGGCTACCATAGAAACCAAGTTAATTTCGACCCCTGTGTGATGCACAGAAAAAAAGGGGCAGAAAAGAACCACAAAAAAAAGCATGCAAGAAACGAAATAAGAAAATAAGCATTCTTACCAACAGACAAGTAAACACTCTTTATTTCGTAAAAGGAATTAAGTCAATTCAATAGCAAGAAAGGTACGGAACCCGAGAATTCAAGGAGTCATAAAAGACACATCTGTAAACTATAGGCGCTGAGAAAAGGACGAACATGGCGGCGGGACCGCATTGCATTGTAGTGGGTCAGAGGAAATAAGAGGAAGAAATTAAAATAATGTAAACAAGGGGGTGAGCTGCATCCGAATCTGTTGTAGAGCTAGGTCTATGGCTTCACTCCATTGGAAATAAGCAGAGACACCGAGAAAATAGACTTCGGCGTGAGCTCTGGAAGCCTGTTTCAGACATTGACACGGCCTACGATGTGGCTCGCTTGCGTACTGTGCGACATGGGACTCATTATCGTTATTGGGTGTGGGAGGGACAGGAACCACGAGATCCTGATTGAAAGTGAATCGTAAAATCTCCATTTTCCAATGTGATCTAAGTAAAATTATCACACAATGCTACAAATACTATCCACTCTAAAACTTCCCCTCTGAGAAAGCAGAGCTTTTTTAGGGGGACCTGGCCCCCTCCACTATATTTTCAGGGGGGGCCACTGAGCTCCCCCCAGTTCCTACGTCCATGAACAGACAGATGAATAACAGATCATAGAGGAAGGACTCAGAAGGAGTTTGAACTGCCCGGGCTGTTACATCTGGCCAATTACCGCTTTCTGGCATTACTGATATGTCCATAGCCAGAGTGCAGTGAACATTTGCTATGCACCATGCCCCATCTGTTTCACAACCATGAACCCCTTTGTACCCTCTGATCGCTGTTGCAATTTGTCGCTGGTAATCTACATCCACTGAGGTATAGGAAATTGAATATTCATGCCATCGTTGGTGCTTGTTTTGATCTTATGAAAACATATTTAATGCTTGCGCAGTTGCTTGCATTACATTGTGTGCCATAAATTATGTGCAGTCATTGCGTTTAATGAGCACTTTCTTCTGGAGTTATTTTTGGAATAAATGGCCCGGTTTTTGTTTACAGATTTTCTGTTTTGTTTCAATCATTTTTATTATGGCATTTGTACAAAAGTGTATTTTATGAGATTTCATGATCACTCCCTGTGATGAAATAGCTCATAATTTCACTTATGAACTTGGCTTTCCAGAAAAAGTCAACATTTTCTTGGACAGTCTTAGCCAAACTCTTACCAAGTCTTTGAAAACTGATGTACTGGGGGAGAATAAAATTTCAAACTTTGATGGATAGATAATGAAAATGTGAATCAAAATTTTAAAATTTTATTTACGATGGCAAAAGTAGGTCTAATATCAGAGATTTTTCTCCAAATCCTGGTCACAGCAATAATTTGTATTTAATTGCAAGCCAAAAACTACAAGTGTTGCCAGGATACTACTGGCCACGCTTGTCTGGCTAAAAGATGCCGGCAGCAATCAGGCAGTTTTGGAATTTTTCTGTTATTCGTCTGACTCAGCGGTGACATCATTCAACACTTTAAAGTGCCAGAGTTGCAACTCCTTCTGTGTCCTTCCTCTATGGACAGACAGACTGACAAACATGCAGACAGTCAGATGAACAAACAAAAGAGCACAGTTATCCTATGAACTACAGCTCTCCTTTTTGTTTTCAGTACGGAAAGATTTTACATTAGAACCCCCAACCAAAATTAGTTTGGTACAGCAAAAAATTTGAAAATTTTAACTTGTACTCAGAAATGCTTGGCACAAGCTCCAAATTGTACAAGATCAAAAAACTGTCTACCAGACCTTCTTCTTGTCTCCAAACCCTAGTTAAGATTAATGTAAACAGCAGAAACCATTTTTAAATCTCGGCTGCCAAACCCCCATGGAAGCCGCCATTTTGAAATATAGGGTGCACTGAACTGATTGAAGTCCCATTGAAGAATGTAAAATTGACCATGTTTGCAGCCCGGTGTGGGCAACCGAAGTCCCTCAGGCCTCTTAAACAAAAAACAAAGTGTTTTGGGGTCATTCAGCTTTCATTTGATTTTCAATTTCTGGTAGGTTAACCAATGATTATCCACAAAAAACAAACTCACCCCCAAAAATGACATCCCTCCACCTTTTCAGGCTCTTGGGGCAATTTTTCAGAGGTATTTTTCTATGCTTTGCCCTAGGATGGGAGCCCTTGAATCTAGGGAGTTCATTCTGGGCCATTCTTCCTCAATCCCACAATTTCTTAGGCCACACCATCTCCTTTTTTTCAAATAAACTGCAGGGGTACTTTTTGAGTGCCTTGGCCTGGCAAAGAATTTCCCTTGAATTGGGCAGTCCACCCAACAATCCGACGTGGCGCCGCCCATGGTCAGCATAGAAACATCACAGGCCCGGTTTTCAAAGCACCATATATCGAAAATGTACGGTTTGGGATAGCCCCATAAATGTGGCCTACGGTATGCTGTGCTCCCCTACAGCCACATGCCCATATGCCTAAACTGCTCACTGCCATGACTACCAGCCCATGCCTGGGTAAACAGGAACTAGCAGTCGCATCTGAACTCCTGGTGCTGTATTTGCATAATGTGAAGTTACGGTTTTGGGGTCACAAACTTGTCGCCATGATGATTTGAGCTGTCAACGTCAATGTATATGTGCAAGAAAGGATAAAGTTCAAAAATTAGCTGGAAGTTTCTAAAAAGTAAGAGGTAAGATTACGTAGTGAAGGTATATGAGCATGTGGCTGTAGTGGAGTGCACCGGGGTAGGCCACATTAATGGGCTAGGTTTGGGAAAGCTCAGGTGCTCATATAAATGTCCAAACTCTAAGGAATGTGCCGGTGTAGGTAAAATTGTCGAGTCATTCTCATTTCAGTTTGTGACAATCCTGCAGTTTGGATTTCAGGCATTTAGGACATGCCTTGAAATAGGGCTGTGGTGGCGACAGACAAGGGACAAATTGTAAAAGAGAGCCCCCACAGCCCTTTTTGTGGGGGGTTCATTACCATTAGCATCCTGCTCCTATAATAAGGAAACAAAGTCCACTTTCTCAAACTAACAAACATTTTGATCATAAGGAACCATTACTCATTCCTGACAGGCCTAGTTTAGGTAAAATTTAACAATATTTAAGCAAGAAAACTTCAAATTTCTAACCCGACTTTGGCAAAAGACAACCACTCAGTCGAACGACGCCATTTTGTTTTTCGTATGGTTACCCGAGTCAGGCTTTTTGGTTTCATTAAAACAAATCTCCATCCAGGTCAAGGAACCAGACTACATTCGCTTATATGTGAGTGTAGTCCACTAATTCAGGCCCCATAGAACAGTGTAAAATCAGCATTGTTCGGGGCCCAATAATATGTGTACCAACATCCCTGAGACATCTGAAACACAACTGATTACATTTTGAGTTATTCCCTCAAAACAAAAGTACCCCCCCAAAAGTGATTTTTCGAAAGTGTGCTTGCAGCCATTTTTCAAGTGACAACCCTCAACTTTCTCGGGCACTTTGGAGTATTTTTCAAGAGTAGTTTTTAGCCATGCTGCTCTCAGATGAAAGCCTAAAGACCCAGGGAGTTGATTCTGGCAAAGATTTACACAATCTCACCATTTTGGGGGCCATACAATCTCTTTTTCAAAACATATTGTGGGGGCACTTTTAATGCTAATGAGCTGGTCAGAAATTCTCACTTGAATTAGTGGACTGCTCTTCGGGGCGGTCATGTACGCTGCCGTTTTACCCAAAATATCTCTCAAAAAAGAGGACATCACCAACAACTTGTTAAGATAAGTTATTTTGAAAAGTAGAATTTGTTCCCCTGTGATAGGAACAGGGTGCTCAAGGTAATGAACCCCATTTTTGGGGCTAAGGGATTAGGATGCACTTTACCATAGCAAAAGCAGTGTAAAATCAACAGAGGCAAGGGCAAAATAACCTTAAGCCCACATTACTGGGTTTTCAAGTTGTCACACGGAAATCTCATTATCGTCTGGGCCGTCCTTTTTTTCAATTGTTGGTTGGTAAGGCAGGGACATTTCTCACTTACCTCCTGTGAATTAAGTCATATACAAACAATCCCGACAACGCGAGCCAAACATGTCATCTCGCGCGCGCGCGTGCTCATTGTAAGCTTAGGCCGTGTCCGAAGCGGGCTTCCAGAGCTGCGGCTATGTCTATTGTCTGGGCGTCTCCACGCATTTCTAATGGAGCGAAGACCTAGACCTAGCTCTAGACAAGAGATTCAGATCGTGCCACGACGTTGCAATATCACGTGGAAACTGAAACTGGTCGCCGATCAACTTCTTCACAGCAAGTACTGTATTGAGCTGAGCAGGGTACCAAAATGAGCTTATATGATCGGCGCTCGGTCTCCAAATACCTGTGCGAACAGAGGCGAATTAACCACGAAGAGAACGCCAGAATTATTTTTCGTAATGGAAATCGAAAGAATGACCTCCAAAATGTTATGTAAATTCGCATCAATCACAAAAACCACAAATTTTCCACACCAAAGGCCTGGACAAACGCAACTTACTAAGGCTCGTTTCAATCATGTTTCAATCATGACCGCACCAAACAGTCGCTGCGTGACGTCATTCTACCAAAAATGAACAAAGTTACGTCCGAAATTCTGGGAATTTAAGCATAAAATGCCTTAGATGGCAATAATGCCTTCCGAAGCCGAACCATTACTCAAATTCGACGTATTTTGTCTATACGGTCAGCTATTTTCTTGCCAATTGGGGTTGCATACAAACATGTACGTTTGGCGCAAAACGGGCAAAATAAAGAGTGGTACTCAGCGGAAGGGACAACTTTGTACACTCACCATGCAACCGTGTGAGGTTGTATTGCTCGCATCTTCTACGGTTCCACACACTGTCTCATGTGCGATACATGTACACGCTCACCCAAAGCAAATCGCAAAAAACGTACACTGTAGGACGGAAATAGCGCCCTCTGGTTGTGTTCAGGATGAGGTAAGTCTTGTCTGGTTTCTTTTTTGGGGGGGGAGGGTTACATTCAAGACAGTGGCCAGAAGCCGTTTTCTTAAAAGAGTTAGCTGTGCCATTCTTAATTGGTCCTTTCCCGAAATTAGTAGTATACATTTGCTTAACGCGGAATAATAGGTAAATCGCTGGGCTGGTGAGCAAAAGGAGCATAGGCCTAACACTGGGTAAAAAAAGTGGCAGTACAAAATAACACATTCTACAACCGTAACCCATAATATCGGGAGAGAATCAACGCCGTCCGATTCTCTTCATGGTTCAGTACTCTATAATGCAAGCAGTCCCTGAATATGCCCCCAACTTTTGTTTTTAAAACGAACGCACCTCCAAGGCTCGCCCAAAGCACCGATGAAAAAGTCGTCACACATATTTTAAAAATAGTTCTAACTATAAAAAAAAATTAGCAAAAAAGTAGATTAAATGGGTAATATGATAAATTTTGTGCCCCCCATTTTTTTTTGAAATTTTCACTCCCCTAGAGTTAGGTTATGCAGTTTCTTAGACATGTGTGGGTTGCTTTGCAGCGCGTGTGGGCAGGTTGACGGTAGTAGAACTTGCAACCAACCACAAGCGTCCTTGAAGAGGAGCAGATGAATTCAGTGGCCAGTCGGACCCTCCACTCCACTTGGCTACTGGACTCAACAGAGACTGTTCTGTTGTCTCTGTGATCTCTTCTTGCATTGAACCTGCCACAATTACATATTCGTCCCTGTCCTGCTCTTGGTGAGTTTGATGATACTTTTGTCTTACGTTTATGCCTAAATTGAAGTGTCTGTTCTTATCTCAAAGTTTAGACCAAGTCGTTATAGGTTAATATCATATTGTATTTCTTAATTGCAGTCATTGTAATTTTGACTGAGAATGTTTTCAAAGAGCAAAAGAATTTGTGCACATCTTAATTTAAGCCAAGGTTCACTTTAGAGGTTCTATCCACGTTGACATCTGTTTAAGATTCTGTTGTTTCCAGATGCAAACACCATTTCTTTTGCGATATCTTCCACAATCTGTCGAAACATTCTGACTTCATGGTCCCTGAACACCGAATTAATGTAACTTGCTGTATGAGTTTCCATTGATTTGGAAGTTTAACATTCTCATGTAAAAGACCTCTGAATTAGTAAAACTTAATTAAGAAAGAACTGACTCCTATAGGATTACTCGTATATTATTTTCCTTACGTTTTTATGATATATTACTTCTAGCGTACATTGAGCAATCACATTCTCTTGACTAAAGTGAAGAGAGGTATATTTCCTTCCTGTACAAATTAATTAAGTCTGTGAATTTGCAACATTCTTCTGTTTTTGATCACTTGATAAATTTCAATCATTTGACTTGATTCACCTCTAAGTAGGTTTTTACTATAGTCGCATATACATGTATTTAGTGGTTTGTTTTTTCTTTATTTCATTTCTTATATCAGGGTGTTTAATCTTTTTGATATGTGCACTCCTTTTGCTTTAAATCAATTTCATTGCTCAGGACTTTGACATTTTAATGTTTAATCTTAATTAACTTTTACCTCCTGATTATGAGTCACTCATATTTCCCGAACTCAGACTTCCAAACTTTGACCGCAACAGTTGTAACCTTGTAATTCCCAAGACACCGGTCTTGGTATAGTGTCCTCGTAGCACTTTGATCATTTCTGTGTAGACCAACCCACACACATAAACGCAGTACCCAGGTGGACGAGGGCATTGACCAGCACTGGTAACCATGACAACCTTACACACCATGTAGTGTTTTAAAGGGACTTTCATTTTTGATAGTCCATACAACTATTTTACTTTAGTATAGTTAGTACTTCACTTGGCTACTGGACTCAACAGAGACTGTTCTGTTGTCTCTGTGATCTCTCCTTGCATTAACCTGCATTAACATATTCGTCCGTGTCCTGCCCTAGGCAAAGACACCCCTAGCAGTACCAAAGCACTAGAGTGACATCAGTGAGCCTATTGAGCTGCATATACTGCTGGACAGTGAGTGACTTGGAGCATGGAGAAAGGAGTGGAGTCACGTGAATTCTGTTCCCCACACCTGATTTATTCAAGCCGGGGAAGGAGAGACAGTGCAATCGAGCCATACACACCATCTGCACTAAGCCAATGATCTTTGGAATTCATTCAAGCCCACTCGAACTGCAAGTCCTTTAACTGCAAGCTCCCCAGCTTATTTCCAAGTGAAGCCAAGACAAGTCATCCCCAACTTCAACACATCTTCAAGCTAGGCCCTTTATTTATTTTTGTTGTTAAATAATAATTATCTTCTGTGAATAGAATCCCTGGGTTTTTCTTGTTATTTTTAAATAAATGTATCCTTTAAAGTGAGGATATTTGTATTTGGTTCAGCGTGTGAAATCTTTTCGCTATCTTAGCCAGAAACGCACTAATCTCCACTGGTTGACTGACAATAAAATGGCCTAAACTAGTAAAAAAAAAATCATGTCAGCAGGTGTCATGACTGTAAAATTATGCCCGCTACAAAAGTTACTCTATAGGCCTATAATTTGTTAACGTTTCTTCTTTTCTATTACACGTACCAGAAAAAGTAAAACATTTTCATCAATTGTAATTTTCTATTTTTCTACTGTCTGGAAGAGCTGATCGAATATTTACAATACAGTGGTCTAAAGTGGTCACCTGCCGCTCTGCTATATAGGACGTCCACTTAGTTATACCAAGGAAAGCTGCTAACGTCATTCACATATGCATCCATCGACACCACGCATGCGTGCTTGTGCAGGATGTAAACCAATCGGCTAATGGTAACATGGCTACAGATAACATGAATCAAACTACCAAAGGCCTACGTGTGGGTTTTTTACCCAGCATATCGGAAGATGTGCATTTGTGGTGGAAGAGGTTCTCAACGCTTAATTGGCCTAAGGGTTTGATGACACAAAATAATTAGATAAATATCGAACATTCCGTCCACTGAAGTTACAGGGCATCCGATTGTACTCGTGTGTCGTAGGCCTCTATTACTTCATTTTATCCCATACTTAGACCACCGCGTATACATGTAACATCTTTTTTTTTTTTAAATCCTTTCTTTTTCCAAATGCGTGTTTCTTATTTTAGGGAGAAATCTCTCCTCTCTTCTTTTGGAGTGGTGATGTTGGATTCCATACTGGGTGGATAAACGGTCATGTCCAGCGCTTAAATACACAAGCTACTTCAGTTTTTGCACATAACGGACACTTGAGAGTTTCCTGAGCTCTCTGGTAGTCTGATCAACTCAACTGTCCAGAACAATGCAAATGAAATCTTAAAACTGGTTACACTAAATGTTGTATGCCTCCAGTTGACAACTTGAAAATTGTGCTGTGGACAAAATTACTTCTCAGGCAACGCACGAAAATGCGAACTGCAGGCAAGATACATTAATAACTGTGAGCACGAAGAAACATTACGTCATGAACTTTATTCAAAAGGTTATCCCAAGAAAATCGACTTGGGTTCCAGTTTTGGTCGTTTGGGTAGATACCAAACTTTGCTTAATACAACAACTCTACGTTATACCTCTAGATCAAAGGTAAACTAACAAAAGGGACACTGACTCGTAGAAAAACTAATTAAGCACATTAAAGTTATTTCAGTACGTGTGGCACTGATGAATATCCACATCTTTCCTGGGATTTCAGAGTTGGAAAAACATATAGATTCCTGGGGGAACTTATCCTGCGAGTGTTTACTTCCCACTGCATTTCAGTGGAAAAATTGCCCTCAAACGCGCTTTTTTGTATCTTTCGTCATTGTAGGTATTATTTTCACAGCCTCACAATTCTCGAAGGAGCACGAAGCTAAGATGCTATATTTTCAGAAAATTACCAATAGAATGAAATTTTTAATCATTTAGGCTCTCGGATCTCTGGTAAATGTCACATTTTTCGTCAAAATCGGGCTCATTTCCTGTGTGAAATCCCTTTATGGCATGCAACCCCTAACTTCAACTTGTATTATTTAACAGCGCCACCTTACGGCTCAGTTCCAAAAAGTGCAAGCCTTTGTCTAGCATATAATGTAAGTATCATGGTGATTAGTTCAAGAAAAACATTCGCGTTTCTTTCTTTTCAAAAGACCCATCTAAATTTGGCGTAACTTGTGGCTCGGCTGGTAATGACTATAGTCATGCATGGACGCACACGCGCCTCCGTATGTACACGCCGTAAACAGGATGTACATGTGCATGTGAAGAAACTCTTCACTGAGCTAGGGGAATTCAAAGTCATCTGTGCACAGTAGTTTCAGCCATGCCTTTTGCTGGGGTCCTTTCGGCGCAAAAGTTTTCCATATGCAGAAAAAGAGATTTTTCTGAGCAAGGTAGAAATCTTCATTCAATTATCGTGGTATTATTAAAGTATTACCGTGACAAACTCAATCGCATATCCGATGTAAGACGATTTAGTTCGCTTGATGGTTTCACTATTATAAATCACTCTGAACGTGTTCTACATTACCTCTTGACTTTGTTAATAAAACCAGGAAATAAATAATGCTATATTCACTAGATTATCTCTAAAAATGCATCAACTTCCCTCCACAAATCTTATATGCAAGTTCGGATTCTGGGATCACAAATAAAAGGATACGCTTGAGGCCCCAGTACCTAGAGTATCTGACGCACTCCCCAGACAAATCTCTTCCCGCTTGGCTAGTGTCGAAGAACTTGAATAAACCACCATCCTACATGTGCCAAATTTTTATGATATCATATGACTCTCAGTTGGTCGATTGAGTGGGCGGTTCTAAAAAGACGCGTGAGAAAATACCTACATTCTTGCTGCAGGGTTTCAATTCAACCATCAGCGCTTAGGCCAGTGAACTTAGCCCATCTGTCCGTCTCTTCTCTTCCACAAGAAATTTGATTAGTAGAAAACCATTTCGCAGTCATGTCATGCAATGTGTTGTGTTGTGTACTACTTCTGGCCGTGAGTGTGTATGCTGCCGCCAATAAAGGAGGTAAGTTTCCTATGTCAATGTATAATATGAATACAGTTTGTGATTCCTGCGAACTAGAACGTAAGATTTATTGATTGAAGTTCAGGGTGGTCGGATAAAGATGAGGAACATACACTTAACACTTTTCACATCTATGTTGAACACTTAAATTTGGAAATAAATTGACAATAAACGAATTTGAAATCACCAAAAAAGGTAAATATTCTCTGTGTTTCGATGAATTTTAATGTGATCTTTACAATTCGTTCAGTTAGTAGAGTTGGTGCAAATGGAGATCTGAAAGCCTGATTTTCTCCCAAAAGAAAAAAAATGCAGCCTGTGAAAAGGAAACGCGGTGGAAACAATAAAGTGCATGATTTTGAATTAAACACATGCTGATGAAGCGAATTCTTGCTGACATTGGTGAGGAAAACCTTTGAAAAAACTAAAAGCTTTCTGTTGATATACGACGGCGAAAACCTTAACAAGTCTTGGAATCGGAAAGCTTTCCTCTTTTCAAGCTTAAAGGTACTTGGCAATTTACAGGCCTGCTTCTTTTGGGTTTCAGAAAACTATATCGACAAGATGCAGTCACTTATTACACGATATACATAGGCATTGTAATTGATTGTTTAAGATGAATTTTTATAGGGACAGGTACGTTTCAGCACAGTTGGTCGAACAGACGCAGATACATAATTTAATTCACACTCCGTCTTTGGCTGATCTTCCAAAGAAGTGATTCAACAATCAAAATTATTCATTGAATTCACATTGCTCGACAGTACCATATTTTCAACGTAGTTTGTAGAGGAGCATAAAAATAACCTCAAACTAAACGAAATAGCTAAGAGTTAAACTAAATCGTGTCCTAACTTACCAAGTACTTCCCTCGACAGTCTCTGACCCGTTCAACCCAAATAGCCGGTGAACAAAAATGGCCATGTTTGAATCCAACTTCATCAGGTTTGTATAGGATTTTTTTTAATGACAAAATTTATAACAAATTTTGTTATAAGCCTGGAGGAAGCTTCATACCCATCTAGTCTCTGCTTTTGTAGCAGCGTTGACAACATCTGCGGTGTCAATTATTTTTTTGTCTCAAAGTAAACTTGGTGTGCCTTCATTTAATGTTCCTTCAAATTAGTATAAAAACGGCCATACTTGAGAATTACAGCCTCAAAAGCCTAGGATTAAAAATAATCCCGTAACTTCTCTCTGTGAGCTCAATTTGAAATTGCATGACATATAACCGGGGGATTTTCAAGCTTTCCCATTTTCAAAATTTGTTCACAAATTCATAACTTCATTTATGGACGTTTACACCCACACGAATGACTCCATCCCTGGAGCATTTGCCGATAGCAAGACTTAGTGGTTAAACCGGGCTCTCCGGAAGCGCGACTTAATAGTGTTTAATTAAACTATTTGTACTGGGCTCGTACAGTAAAAAAGACAATTTCGGACAAAGCCTAATTATCGAAGTGGTCTTTTCAGTATAATTGTTGGTCAATTTTAGTATAATCGTTAGTTGTTCTTAGTATAAATACTGGTCATTTTTAGTATTATTATTGGTCATTTTTAGTATCATTATTGGTCATTTTTAGTGTACACATAATTGTTGGTTATTTTAGTATAACTGTTAGTAATTTTTAGTACGATTGTTGGTCAGTTTTAAAGTAACTGTTGATTATTTTCCCAAAGAGTTATCCAAAAGTTGGAATCCTTGGTGATTAGAAATGGGAAAGTTTATATTTACACCAATTGAGGCAAAAAGATGGTCAAAATATGCCCAACTTTATACCGTATAGGCAACAAAATGATCCAAAAAGACAGTAACTTGGATTTGTAAATTAACTTAGTCTTAAGTACTCGATCACGTCGTAAAGACGACAAGATAAAAAACAAAACAAAAACGAAACAAAATACAAAACGAAAAAACGATGACTTCAGAGTTCAGTAATACTACCCCTCCAACCTAGACACGCACAGCGTAAAGCATTTATATGACAGTGTATGGTATGACAACAGCACCAATTCTCAGGAGGTGAATGGTTCTTTGATCAGACATGTTTTGCGTCGGCTACAGAAATTCAATTACTCGCCTTGTCAAACATAAATTTAATAAAAACAAAGCAATAAATCGAAATGGCATGTAGCAAGGGGGTTATGACATCATTCTCACACACACCGTTCCAGTGAGTGAAATATTAAACCTCTGTTTTTCTGCTGGGTGACATTTACAGCATTCAATTCACATCACCATGCACATCCTAAACGTCTGCTTCACTACTTATTGTTTCGCAATTCGTAGCACTCCAATGCACATCCTACGTATACGCCTCTTCACTTCTTATTGTTTTGTAGTTCACGCTTGATTAATTACACCACCTGCTGTTGATATCTCTATCAAGAGGCCAGAATTAATGAAATACATGTACGAGTGCCGTTTGACTGATGAGCTGATTGATAATCCGACTACACAATTTCCGCCCATGAACTTATCGCAACAGGGGAATGGAATATCAATCTGGAAGCTACGAGGTTTGATAGTAAGTTGATTAGGCCACAAAATACAACCTGCACGAGTTACAGAACAAAATGGTAAAACGTAAACTACTGTCATACATTACAAAGCACTGGTCTTGAATTTATGAATTAAAGCTACTCTTCGCCTCACATGAGTAATTACACAGTCATTATTATTGAGCACTAAACTGTGACGATTACGGTTGAGTAGTATCATTAAAAAAGACACGCCTACGGAAAGATGGCTGATTTTTAATAAATATGTTTTTTATTATTAAAAATAACTGATTTGGAACACGAAGGGAAAACATGCACGCTTGGGTGAATTATACAGTGAAGTGACTGGATGGAGGGAGAATGGGTCAATTAAAACTGATATGTTCATCACATCTAATCATTTTATGATACACATGTACAGTTTAGACACAGGTAGCAAGTATGCAACTGCAATCTTAGATACACCTGGCATTCCTTTTAATTTCTGTGGGAAAGAACTATTACCAAGATTTACAAGACTTTGTTCATCATTAAGTAGTTTTTATTCTTGACTGAGTGCTATCCTATAGCTATTTTTATCTTTTCATTATTTACTTTGGTATGTAAGCTTCACAATTGCTGCGATATTTAATTTTATAATGGACACAGTCTTGTACTCCTGACACACCGCTTTGATGTGTAGAAATTTTAACATACTACAACGCAAACACTGTCCATCGTGTGATTGGAGAGTTGCAGATCTTCGAAGTGATACCATAACCCGACCAGATATGGTGCACGTGCACAAGAGTGCAGAGGGTCTCGTTGTGGTCAAACTGATATGCACACCATAGTGCTACTGTAGCACTGAAAATGGCAGATGACTTACGAAAAAAATGTTCATTTTATTGATGTAGGCCTACACTTCTCAACTAGTATCCACGGCTAATTTAACTCTAAGACAAAAATAAAATACATGCATGCTAGACAACAAGAGCTACCTATGAAATACAACTGTTGAGCAAGAATTGATTTGAGACAGGACAACTTAATGTCACTATATTGTTTACTGGACTAGGTAAAAGAGTGACTTCTTGACAAAAGGAATATTGAGGTGCTGTATTAAAAACATGTTTCATATTCGTGAAATAGAATAAAAATTGCATTAAGTAGCTTCCTCTCCAGGAACAGTATATCCAATCTGTCACCTCATGAGATTATCCTCACCACTGTGATCATAAACATTCACAACGGCAGACTGTTACTCCGAACCCCTACAAAAAGTGGAGGACTGACCTTAAAAACAGAACAATACCTGTGTACCTGTAGATATGTTTCTCATTATTTGTATTGTATCTTTAACACAAAGAAAAATGCTTGGAACCACTGGAACCAGGACCATGCAGTGCGCAAATGCCTAGTTGGGGATATGATAGTGACCTAGAGCAATGTGTGAAGTTCACATACGGAGGGTGTGGAGGAAATGCCAATAACTTCGCCTCTGCTGGAGATTGCATTGACAAATGCGAACGTAAGTAGATTTGTTGGAATTAAGTCCCACATAGGCATAACACAGCAAAAAATAATAGTAAATGCTAGAAAAGTGTCTGTGTTACTAACAAATTAAAAATGCAAACATGTATGATCTGACACAAACTGGAAAGATGACGCATGGAGACATGCAGGCAAATGCCTGGTGCAAAGCAGTTAAACAAAGTAATAAGGTCAATGGGATAACATCATCCAATAAAAAGAAAGTAAAACATTCTTTCCAAAGAAAATGGTGAGTGAAATCAACGTACCGAAACCTGTTTAGGTTAGACCCTCCTTTAAACTATTTCCTCCTACAGATCCTCGCTCATGTTATGACGAAGAAAATCAAGTTTGGTATGCTCATCAAGAGAACAAAGGAGGAGGATATGGCTGTGGTGGATGGTATGTAGATCTTTCTCAGATCATCAATCAATTACATCGCTTTCCAGACGGCATGGTAAAAGTACATCTGTGCCATATATCTATAAACTGTACATGTATATAGATGTTACTTCAGTAGTCTTAATATGATTAAATTCAAAGCTGAACAAGCAGTCATTCACCATTTCCTTTCTTTGTAGCACTTGCAACGATGGTCTGTTCGAATGTGGGAGTTGCAGTAAGTTAACCTCATTTGTGTTGGCTGGTTTTTATGATGAAATCCTGAAAATTTAACCTTTGTGTTTTAATATACTTTAATTTCTGTTTTACTATATGCTTTTTATGCAACAATGAAACTTTCATATTTACTAGCAAAACAGTGATGCACGGAACATCAATTTTGCATTGATGTAGAATATGAACATGAAACCCGACAACTGAAAGTGTCTTCTCAGATTTACATCACAAACTAACAACGCCCTCACTTGTCTGAAAAAGCTGTCAAAGATTTAAATTATGCACTTTATACCCTTTACTTTCCTCAAAAAAGAATTTTCATAGACAGAAGAGTTTAAACATGCTTAAAAAGGAATTCCAAAAGAGCTCATTGTTTCTTTGACATAAACAAAGCGAGGAAATACAAATAACTGTAATGGATGTTCAGAACAAAATTTAAGCTACTTTTCTGTCTAAATAGAAATCACGTTTTTCGAATGCGACTCATCAGTTAAATACATGTAGTTCTTTATTTCTTTTCAACTAGACGCTGTCCCATTAGTTTGCAGAATCACTAACTGTGATAACAAATGCGACTATGGTTACCAGAATGATGAGCAAGGTTGTCAGACTTGCGATTGCAAGCTTGAACCAGGTAAAACTGTCTCTAAATTTCAATTGGTAAGGCCTCATTCAAAGATTACAATTTCATTATCTAATTCAACAAAGGATTTACAAAATGTATAGACCAATATTTATCTCTATTTACTGCAATAAATATAGTTGGCATCTGTATTTCGTTACTGCATTTTTTGTGGTAAGTCAAAATAGTCTTGCTGGTTAATTTACGAAAGAATTTAATGATAATTACTCATAACTGAGTTAGGTTTATAAATGGTCTCAGGTGAAACGGCTCTTCACCCTTCTTCAAGGTGCAGCCTCGTGTGCATGAGGATGAACGCAACTTGTGTTGTGCATTCGTCCAAACAAGAACAATAAGTGTAGCAAAGTGTAGATATGTTATGGGTGTGCAGGTAGAAACTTGGCAGTGGTGACTACTGCTAACTAAATGCATAGACTCACAGTTCCAGAGACTGTTCAGGAATCAAAACACCAATTTGGATTATAAGAACAAGTGAAGGTTCCTGATACATTTCGAAATTAAGTTTACTACATTAAATTAAATTGACATTAATTTTATTTCACACAGGTAACTTCCTTAACAAGTTGAAGTTCTACTGTCAAGAGTTTTGCAGCTTCTGCAGATCTAACAGTAAACTTCAATGCCCGTCCGAGTGTGACTGTTACTAATGACAGGTATCATTCATGTCAAGGACCAGGCAGTAGTTTTGTTGAGCACTTTCGGCATGATCACATTTATCAAAATCCTACTGAAGGAATAAATTACAAAAATAGCCATTACCTAAAGTTCAATGAGAATGCCCAAATGTTTTCTGAAAGCAAAGTCCATTAAAGGGCATTAAATAAGATAGAGTAACTTATTCTCTACAAGCCTGTTCTTTGAACAAAAATAGAGTAGTTTGATTATTTTTTTAACTTTGCTCAACTACCTGCTGAATTGACTGCATGACTGGCTGATTTGCCAATTCAACAAGTGTTCTGAAATGTAACAGCAACGAGATACCTATAACAATTTCTCAACATCACTATGATCAATCTGATAACGATGAAAATAAATCAGGCCAACTAAAAGTCGAAGTCATTTCGAGTAATATTTAGGACAATAAAATTGTGCGACTACGTTATCTACTTAATAACCTTGACTGCTAAAGTAATATTTGATGTCTTGAGTACAAGTGTCAGTAATATAGCTGTAAAACAGTTTAACATTAAAATCCAAATACATGCATGTACCTGTCTACATGTTGGGGAAAAGTTCGGGCGTGAACTATAGTTCGACCAGTAGTCAGTGGCTTTTTAAAAATGCGCTCGCTCATTCTAGTTACACTCGAATGACCCATTTCATGGTTGGTTGCGATTCTCAGTTGAGTCATCGTAATGTAGTGATTTGAGTCAAGTCATTAGGTAAAAATGTCAAGTTGGGTCGTAAAGATGACTTGAGTCCAACTCAACTCTGCCTTGTGGTAGTGGTTTCAAATGTAACCAAAAATTATACGTAATAAAGAAATAAATACCATTAATATTCCATAAAAATATTTTGTTTTCCTTTAGTGTATCTGTATTTAATACACGGTTACTACACCGAGTTCCACTTCATCATAACATGAATATTGGTTAAAAGACAATATCGGTCAGCATTGCATGGAATTGAATAAAAGAATGAAGTGATACCAAAATAAATGTGTTGACAGAGTCTACTACTCCTGGCATACCACTATGAAGACCTACTGATAAGACACAACGATCCAGTTGACATGACCAATTATCAACCCAATAAAATAGTTTCAAAGTTTAGATTGTAACCTCCCAAAAAATGGCAACCTAACATGAATTCAAGAATGAGGATTCTGAACTGACAAGGTTTCTGTTGTGTTTAATGTGATAAAACCTCTTTAACAATTTGAATGGAATTGCATACACTGGCACAAAAATGTTCAAGCTTCACTGGACAGCACAAAAATTGAATTATGTACACGGAAACATTCCGTAATTTTATCATGGACCCCAACTGAAATGTTCAATAAACATAGAAGACGCTACCAACTTTATATTAAAAACAATTTCTGAGAAACACTTTGGGAGAATTACAGTCGACTCTCGTTACTGCTACTTACTTATTTATCTCATATTATCTGGAACCTCATCTTACGCAAAAAGTATTTTCCCACTCGTATATGTCGTTTGTCAATCGTACTACTGTTGAAGGGTAATGAATTTGCTTTCAATACAGTTCAAACATGTTCTTTATGGAAGTGGAATGTACATGGAGATGAAATAAAGAGTTGCAATAAAGCATGTATTATACGTTCATTGAGAAGAACGTAACAGAAAAATAACAAATCCGACCGAATGGGGCAAGCAAATGTTAAGTTTGGATTGCATATTGGGAACACCATGTAGAAGTGAACTGAGAATTTTCACTTCCACATTTTTTCTGGCATCTCAAAATCACATGATGATCTGACATGATCAAAAGCCGACATGATGCTTAAACAGGCAAGGTCAGGTACAAAACTACTGACCACTAATCAAATATTTGTAACCATACAAAAGTACAATACAGTTCACACTCCAATATCCCAAATAAAACTATTTTGCCAAAATTATAATTACAATTTTCTGTAAGCTGCAACTCTCCCGACATTCATAGTAATGAACACTCAGTTCAATTGAAATTTTCATGTGAATGGATCTTCCTTTCCTGATAATCAGCTACTGCTGTACACACCAGTATTTTTGTCTTTGTGTGTTTCATGTTGTCTGCTTATAAATGAAATCAGATACAACTGACAAGCAGTGTGATTAGCCCTGAGACTGGCTCCAATGGGTTGATCACATGGTCCACACCATCTTTTATGTGAATGATTCTCTCTGTACTGGCATGAAATCAGCTATTTCTATAAACCAGCAATGTGATTAGCCCATAGACTGGCTCCAATGGGTTGATCACATCATGGAGGAAGGACACAGAAGGAGTTGTAACTAAGGCACTTCAAAGCGTCCAATGATGGTCGCCGCCGAGTCTGACGAATAATAGAAAACATTCCAAAAATGCCTGATATTAGACCTACTTTTGCCATCATAAACTTTTCAAATTTTGACACACTGTTTCATTATCCATGCAAAGTTTGTAATTCTGGTCTCCTCCGTCCAATATACATCAGTATCAAAGACTTGGAACGAATTTGGCTAAGACTTGCCAACAAAATGTTCACTACTTCTGGAAAGCTTAGTTCATTAGCGACAAAATGCGCTATTTCATCACAAAGAGTGATCGTGAAATCTCATAAAATACTCCTTTGTACAACTGCCATAATAAAAATGATTCAAACAAAACACAAAATCTTACAAACAGCTTGGCTATTTATTCCTAAAAGAAGTCCAGAAGAAAGCGTTCGATAAGGGCAACAACTGCACATGAACACTTCGAGTATACAGCCTAATAAAAGCAACTGTGCAAACACTACATTTGATGATGTTGTCGGTTCATATCAAGCACCAACGATGGCATGAATATTCAACTTCCTATACTGCAGTACACAACGTTTTAGGGATACAGATTACCAACGAAAAATTGCGGCGACGATCATGGGGTACAAAGGGAGCGTATGGTTGCAAAACAGGTGGTCAGTAGCAGGCGTGCGCTGCGCTCTGGCTATGGACATACCGGGCATGCCAGAAAGTGGTAATCGGCCAGATGTTATAGTCTGGGCAGTTCAAACTCCTTCTGTGTCCTTCCTCCATGATCACATGGTCCACACCATCTTTTTTCAAACAAATTTGGTTGAACAATGATTAACTTTGTATTCACTTACACTTAAATGTAATAACATATTCGATTTCCAGCCTTCACGGTTTTCAATACTTCATGATTACTATTCACGTTTCAATAACTGTACCATCTACCTGCAATGTTCCGTGTCTAACAATACAATTCCTGCTTTAGGTGACTACTTCCTGTTAATTCTCATCTCGTCCACCAACATAAGACAACCAGTGATTAATGTACAATGCATTTGCTATCAGGTAACTATCCACTACACGAAATATTCTGCTCTATAGGCAAACCTGACTTTCAGCAACTAACAGGTTCTGTGTGGTTCTGTGTTGTGTAATCACTCATCGCATTATATTTTAATCACACAGGCATAAGCTGATAATAAATATTTATGATGTTGGGCATCACAGGTCATTAAATCATTACTGTCAGAGCTGGTAAGGGTTGGTTTTAACTTGGAGCTAAATTTTGATATTAAATTTACTTTCTTGGAAGGCTGTGATGTAATTGATCATTTTATAAAGGCAGGTTAGATGAATTTCTACCCATCGTTCCTCCAAAGATTTCCATTCAGGTTTATACAACCCATCAGGGACACTGGCTTTTCACTAAGTTATGTCCTAGCAACAAAGCAAGTGGTCTTGCAATAGATTCTGTCAAGTGCAGTTTGTATCTGACTCATGGTAACATCTCCAAATATCCAACTTGCATAATTCTTTGAATATTTACATGACAAGAGCATTAACCTTTCTTCTGTCTCCAGAAATGGGTATTTCAACTTGTTTCCTTAACAATAAACAACGTGCACGCTGTACAGCGACTCATTACATTTCTATTTATTGTTAAGTACTTTGAGCACTAAATAGCTCATGAATAATTTAGAGTCTCAGGAACACAGTACTGCCAGGCTGAACCTGTACTTTGGATGATTCATATATCCCTCTGCCTAGCACACAGACTAGAGTCACATTGTTGAAGGCAAAAAACCCACAGTTATTTTGATGCAAACACTTCAAGGAACATGCAACTCGACTACGTGCTGGAGTGGTGTCCATCATATCAGCTGAATGGATGGTGTGATGGGTGTCAGTCACAATGAAGTACGTGCTTGCAGAATTCCAATCTTTATAAAACAAAATTAAAATGGATGTTTTTTTTAGGTGGAACATTTCTAAAAAGTAGGAGAATAGCACTGGTAGATCACTTAAAGTTCATTTACATTTGTAATTCACAATTTTGGTTTCTGTGAAAGTTTAGTGATATTTTAAACTATCTATTGCGTAAAAACTAACAAAAGATTGCTGCTGATCTATGAGGTCAAAAGCACGAATTGATGTTCTCCTTCATATCGGGAAAATGAAAACAAAAAATGTCGGGAGCATTCGATAGAAGCCTGTTTTGATGATGTAACACTACGTCTCTGCAATTATACGACTTTTCCTGTGAACGCGCCCCCATGCGAGTACTATGCTTGCTCAAACTTAACTGTGAATTAAAAGAGGTCAGACGAGAGTAACTTGGAATTGCTTTTACATCAACAATCTTGATCACACAAGTCAAGGTGATGTCAACACTAGATCCTACGATAAAGTTGAACCATCCCAATTTGAACGTGAGTAAGGTACCAGTAAATTTCAGGTAGATGCATGGCCATAGTCATTTGCTGAGAATGATGCCCAACTTATTTACCCGTCTTTTCTCTATTATCGCGCTATGAAGCCCCCATTACAGCTGCAAGGTCATGAAAATCTGAGGGAACGAGCCGCTTTATGACATCATCAAACTGATAGATTTGTTTGCTGTCCTCATTAATGCATTTTTTTTAATCTGAGCATTCTCCAATAAAAATAAATCCCAAAATGATGTTTTTTTTTTATAAATGAGAAGAGAAGCTGCCACAGCTGCCAGTCGTTATATACGTAAGAATGACCAATTCCCTGTACAGCCATAACAGTCCCAAGTTGTCCGATTTCAATATGATTTTACAAACACCCTAGGGGGTTAGGGTTCATCTTTTGGCATAAAAGCACTGTGACTGATCTTTAAGGAGGCCATTTGGGATAATGACCCAAATGAGTTTAAATTCCCAACCCACTGAACGAATTCCCCATCCAAAAGGAGCATGTATGGTTCTAAATCCACTTTTGTGATAGAGTACATGGCTCTATGGCAGAAGATCCAAAATGGGGATGGGGACTTCCAACGACTTGACAGAGGTAAATTCTCCCTTCATATCCCCCATCACCCTACTTCAACTTAAAAATGACCCCTTTCCACCAGAAAATAAAATAACCTCAATATAATAAAACATAAAAATTAATGGCCACAATCAAGGTTTGCAAAGTAATAGGAAATAACAGGAAACAAGTACGTGATCAGAAAACAAAAGACTAAAAATACAAATACACTTTGTTTGCATGTGCCCTTTGCCTCTGGGGCTGGAAGGATTGCGACAACTTCAATGCAATAAGAAGCACAAACATAAACAAAGTGTGACATGTCGAAAAACTTGTTTGGTTTTTATAGAAGAAATAGTAAAATTGTGTCAATGCACTCATATGTTACATGACAGTTGAAAGGTACCACAGTATTATACGTATAGGTGCACTCTTTGCTGGCTAATGTCTGGAGAAATTCAAAAGTGATTGGATTGAAAGCTACATTTTTCCCTAACCTCTCCTGTACTCAACTCACAGGAAGGCCTGCAAAGCCATCATCTTGAAGTTACTCAGATGACTTGCTATTTTCACTGACTGTGAAAATGAACATCTAATTTGTTTTCTTAAATACTAAGTTTGAAGTATTCACCCTCGGAGTACGATTCCTGTCACGTGAATCCCACTGCTGGGTCTTTTTGTGATTTCTGCTTCAACAGCCTTAATACAGTTTTGAAGACCTGATTAGTTTAACCTCAGAAATAAAGCTTTGGGCTAATGGTTTCTTTGTTTCTGCTGCTGGCCTATTCATTTTTTATCAATAAAAAAGAATGCATCAATCCAAGCTTTCTGAAGTAAGGAAGAGGTCCCATGCAACCAAATTACTTGTATAATCTTATTCATGTTCAAATGTTCCATTTATCGATACCTTTACCTAGTTGTAACCCTTCCAATCTTAATTCTAAATCCCCGTTTCCAAAGTGTACACAAACTACTCCCTTTTACTGCTGTTTGCCATCCTAGCTTTAACTCACCAAAACTTACTGTAGGTCACAGGAAACAAAAAACATTCACTGACTATGTGTAATGTTGAACATGTAGTTTGAAACAACACTGAGTTTGAAATAAAGCACATTATTTGAGGTTTTGAATTACTGAAATTACACATAATTTCTAAATTTTTGTTGTGATAAATCCTAAACTGTCATAGGCCATGTCCTGCATATTTGCCTGAACCCTTTGTGAGACATGACGTACATGTGTTTAAATTGCATGCCCCAGGCCATGTGGATTGCATGGCAGTGCCTGCCCAACTTTCACAGATAACTGCACCTAACTTTTTCATCATGATTTCCTTTGCTTTACTTTTTCCCTATTAATGGAATAGTTGCTTATCATAATCTATCTTATTTTATCCACATATGATTATAGATTAGCTTTATAACAGTTTTGAACAAAATTAAGCATTTTCAAAAGTGATATTTGTAAGGTGATTTAGGAGTAACTGTGGCAAAGTATACAAGGATGTTTATGGCCCATCACAGTACAGAAGGCATGCATGAAAGGTAAAATGTTCTTGCACAGTTATGTGCATGGGCCCAGTAGAGGGAAGTTCAGAAAATTATGGAGTGCACTTATGATGAAATTTCTTTGATCCTTGATGGTAATTTGATGAATAGTTCGTCTATAGGAAGTAATTAGCCTATTCACTGGGAAATTGGCACCCTTTTTTGCTAGTGATGTTTTGCGAGTTAACGACTGTATTGTGCATTTAGGAGGCACATATTTGAGTGCATGTGGTTAATGATAGAGTGTGTGTACGTTTTGGTCAATCAGCGGCCGGGGTTGGCCTGCATGTTTGTCTTTTTCCTTCATGCTCAATATGGACAATTATTCTACACTTTCACATTGTAGTTTAAACCTTAGGTCAAGATGGAGTATTTTGGGGTTCTTTGTAAGTTTTGCCTGATTTGTAAGCTCCTTTAATTTTATTAGTCCAAGCCTGAAATATACATGGAACTAATGAGTGCCTGCCTAACTTTCACAGGCGGCCACCGGGCCCAGCACTTGGCCAGTACTGAAAGCAGTATTAAAGAAACAGGGAAAGCAGAAAAGAAACTGTCCAGATCATTACTTGTGGCCCTCCGTGTGTCTGCTGTTTCACCAGGACCTGAGTGCTGATTTCCCCTCCCCAACTGTTGTGAAACTTTCCCCCTGGCCTCATCCGGCTTAGTTGCCATATCCTGGGAATTCCCCCCCCCCACAACCCTGCTGGCCAGCTGCCCCGCCCCCACCTGCCCACCTCCTTACACTTACAAAGGAAGAAAAAGAACAAGAATTAAATATCTCATCAAACATGTTTCCAGGGCAGCACACCTGATATTTTTGAATTTCATACACAATATGAGTCAGTGCCTTCATTCAAACTTTCAAGAATTATGAGCCTCATGGACTCCTTAGATTTCACAACAGTTCACAACTACATGTTTGTAGATGTATTTCATTTTTTGTAACTGTGTTAGTTTGAAGCTGCAGCAGATGGATTGATTATAGAAATAAATATCTGATGCTATATTACTTAAAAGGACCTGGACATATCATGATTAGACATGACATCATTCATGCATGAGTAATCCTTCTGTATTAACTGACATTCTCCGGGCACTAGCACCTTTTAACAAACAGGAATTCACACAATTTATTGTTTTCATGTAATTAAAATTACTCCTTGACAATAATACTTTTTCTTCATTGAACTGAAGATTATTTGGAGCTAAAGTTTTTATGATAAAATTCTTTACTATTTCTCCTCATATTGCAATGCCTTAACCTGCCTCCGAATTCCTCTTAACCTGTTTACCAGCGGGGGGGTAACCTTGTGTGGATCTGATTTACTAGACACAAGCTTCAAACAATCTGCATTATGTGGACCACTTTTGTTGATGGGTCCATGTGAAGCATGCAATTTATACACTTGGCCACGTTCGTGTGCACACGAATATAGGCATGCAAATTTTTCAAGTGATTGTGAGCACTGAATCCTGAGAGGAAACTTACAATGCTCTTTGAAATCACAACTCAAATTATGAAGTACATATTACTGCATCAAGGGACATTATCAAAGGACCAACTGAACAGATCAGATTCAGTTCACAAAACAGATGTTATTTTGTACAAATAACTAAGAGTCTTTGCATCAGAATTCCTTGAAGTTATCAAACCAAGAACTAGGAACACCTGATCACTTCCTGATTGAGTAACTGAATCAAACCGTTTTCTTTCAGGGCAACAATTTTGGATGACTTTTTAATAGACTGCGTGATGTCATAACTTAAAACTTGGCACACATAATATACCTCATCCCAAGATGAGCAAATTACTTTGATGTCATGATTTATTCTAGTTTCCTTATTTCCTTTTATTTCAGCCAAATGCAACAAGGTATTTTTGTGCCATTCCGTTTTCAACAATGTTATGATGAGATTGTTTGTAACATCCCATCATCACACAAATTGCTTGCTAGGTGCTTCAAGTCCACAAAGGGGCAAAAATGGGACAAAGATTGTTCATCTGTTGTATTTACATGTCCCTATCAGGTCAAAGTAGAGATGTGCTAGAAGTAACGTTTATAGGTTGTGTCATGATGAAACAGTGTAAAATTCAAGTAAAGGCAATAAACCGGACACTGAAATTGTTTGATTACTGTGTATTCACATCCAAAACATGAACCTTTAGATTATTTTAGGCTTGGTATATTTCTACTTACGATACCTGCATTGCAGTTGGCCTCTTGACTTGGATTTATTGTAGTCTGGACCACTTGTGTAGAAGAATCTTGACTGACCAGTAGGGGTTGCATTACAGAAGACGCTGAGGAGAGTGTGGAGGGGTCTAGTGATGCTACTGTGGTGACTTGTGTCGTGGGGTCTGGTGATGCCTCAGTCAAGGCTTGTGTTGTGGGGTCTGGTGATGCCTCAGTCAAGGCCTGTGTTGTGGGCACTGGTGATGCCTCAGTCAAGGCTTGTGTTGTGGGGTCTGGTGATGCCTCAGTCAAAGCTTGTGTTGTGGGGTCTGGAGGAACAGTTGTGGCTAGTGATGATGTGACAGCACGTGTTGTAGGATCTAGTAATAACTGTGTTGTACCAAGTGTTGTTATGATGGCAGACGTTACATCCAGATAGTTACCACTGTTGCACAGATCTACATTGCAGCAGTAGAAGCATAATGAGATGACATTTTCCCCGGGGTGACACTGGAATGGATTTTGATTTTCCTGACTCTGGCAAGCATCTGTTTCCTTACACATCTTTCTGACTATAAACAGGCCATTTTCCTCTCTGACTTCATTCATGCATATCTATGATACGTAAAGAAAATATCACCAAAAAGCAAAATGATGCATTAGTACATTACAGGTCTCCTTCACAACATTCATGATGACATTGTTTTCAATATCTACATCAATTGTTTCTGAAATGTTAGTGCACATTTCATACATACATTGTAGGTTTAGTATGAATAATAGTGTCATTGCTACTCATAACTCAGTGCTACTCATAGCCGAAATCTCTAAAAAATGATAAAGAATGAAATCATGATAGACTGTTGTAGACCACGATAAACCATGACAGCCCATGATAAACCATGAGAGCCCATGATAAACCACGACAGCCCATTTTATACAACACCTGCATAAATTCCCGTCACCTGAGCAGTGGATCTTTGATCACATGGCAATGAACTATTTGAACCAACACACACGCCACGCGACATGCATGCAGAGTGCAAAAAATTTACATGTAGAACTGAGCATTAGAAATGATGATACATCTCCTCTGCCTTGGATACTGTATATTTATTGGCCCAGAACAATCACATGACAGGGCGACATATCCGCATATCACACTCACTGTGAGATATCTCTTTCTGTCATTAGTGTGTGCACACACAGACACGAAACAGAAGAGCTTTGGGAAGTTCGAGAACAAACATTTCCGCTCCTTAGTCCGTTGTGTGCGGTATCCATGATACGCTTTGTATAGGCTACCAGGGAATTCGATCAATGATGGCGCTAGTGAAACAGACTCATTCCTGTCCCCGCAGCATATCAGGTAATGCAGGGACCGCTAACCAGACTACATGTACTGACTGGTACCCACACCAGTTTCACATTAGAGTTTACGCAATTAAAGCAAGTGAGGGGACAGTGCAGTTGCAGAAGATATCATTTATGTCTGTTTATAGGTTAAAATTGTAAAGTTTGACAGTAGGCCTCTCGTCTTTTGAAATTCAGAGCTTGTTTCTTTGGATAAATTCCTTAAAACAGAGGTACATGTATGACAAAACAATTGCTGACTGTGTGGGCTATGATGTTTTAGACACCCTTGGGCACACATAGTGCCCTTGGGTGTTCAAAATGTCATATTCCACACCACATGGGTAAAAAATTGTTCAATAATGAAAACCTCTGGATCTATTGCACTGCAGCGTCTAATGAGCAAGTTTTTTTAAGGCAAAATAATCAGAACTTGTAATGCTAATGCTGTCAACATAAGGAAACTGATAAAATGCTGCCAAACAATTTAATGAGCTCAGAATATCATGTCAAAAAATTAACATATTTACAACTGGATAATGTCCAGTTTGAATCAGTTAATTAATCAAGTTGTACTCAAAAAATCAGATGACAAGGATTTATACAGGTGTTGTATAAAACAAGTAATGTTCCGCATTCGTGCGATGGTAAGAATACATGTATTTGCAGTCGGTGACAGGTGAAACAGTATATTCCACTTGGCTTTGCTTCGTGGAACAGACTGTTTCATCTGTCACCTCATGCAGTCATTCTTACCACTGCAATAATGAACATTCATTATTTGCATAACCGACCATGACAGATCATGAAAAACCATGACATACCATGATAGACCATGACGGACCATAACAGACCATGACAGATCCTGATACACCATGACAGACCTTTAGTCTACAGACCATGAGAGGCTTTGAAAAAAATAATATAATAAATTAAAATTTGTATTACGTGGTCTCCATAACAGTGATCAAACGCGCATTAAAAGGTACTACTAACATTTTAAAAACAGGAATCAAGACCACTTACAAGGTAAAACTGCTTGAAAATACGTAGATACAATAGTAAACCTTAACAAAACACTGTAACATAATAAGTCAGTTTCCTGATATAATTTGTTTAAGATGATGTTCAAAAAGCTGTATCTTCTCTGAGTGATCCCTGTTCACCACCTCCCAGGTTGTATCATGTCACTGGGGTGTGATCCCTGGGTACATGGTGTTCCAGGTTGAGTGGCTTCTGGCTAGTGCCCCCAAACAAAGATACACATATTGACAAATGGGAAGAGCAACCAACATAGGGCTGGATAGCTCAGTTGGTAGAGCACTGGTACAGTCTTTTGGAGGTCACAGGTTGAATTCCCACTCCAGTCAATTTCTTTGTTCATCTTTATAATCATTTGTAAACACATTTTCCCAATATAATTTGTTACATTAAGAAATGATAAGATAAAAATCGGTGAAGAACAGCTCCCAACTTAAAGCTTTAGAATGTAAATGAAATAATTCTGGGACAATCTAC